AAGTAGATCATGTACGTGTTTGTTCCCAAACCTACTTGTAAACTCTGCTGTAATGTTGTTACGGGCCTGTACATGAGGTAAGGCTAGCACAGCACACATGCATACAGTATGGTCTGGAGTAGCTTTTTAATATCCTACCAGGCAGAAAGCCAGGAGGTGCTGTCTTGTGCTGCAGGACCCATCTGCGTGGTAATTCCCAAACTAAAAAATCTTAAGTAAGAGACTTTCAAACCAATTGCAGTTCCCAAGTGTCACTGGTGTCTGTATAAAACACATCACAATTTCCAAATTCATACTAGCAATATGTAGTTAAATTCATTCTAATACATAAATCCAATATAAGTCCATAAATCCAGTGCAGCAGGCAAAGCAACTTCAAGAACAAAATACATTGAACAGTTATCTTTATCTTGCCATTATTACTCAATAATCAGCAATTAGTACAAATGCAGCACCAGAAGAAAAGCAGTAGGTATTTTGCTGAAGCAAATACGTAAGTATATGTGCATAAATGGCTGTTCTCTCTAGATGCGTTATTGAAAAGGAGACAGTGCTCAAGAGATGGGCTGGAGAGAGAACTGACCATTTCTTGAAGAGAATTCCTCAATGCTGAAGCCACTTTCCATGTTCCAAATATGATACTTTTATAAGGAATTGTTATTGCTTTTAAAGTAGTTGGATAGAATTTTCTTCTCACTTTTCACCAAATGACAGCATGCATCAAACGATTTCTGGGCAAACGCATTAAAGTGCCCAAGTTTGGGTGATGACAGTGAAGGCCTGATGGTGAAAGAAGGCGGGATTAAAAATTAAATAGGGAATTGCTCTGTTCTTTTTATCATACTCCCAAAGAAGTGCTGCTTTCAAGGCTCAGTTTAAGGCAACCCCTCTATTAAGGACAGTTGTTGCCATGTATTCATTCAGTTTTTGTGTTACTCGGACTCGTGTAAATCTGAAGCCAACTGTAGATAAAGGTAACTTACTGCTTTCAAGAACAGAGTCAGAAAGTCCAGAAGGACAGCTTTTTTCTGAGGAATACATTCTGCATTTCAAACAAGCCGTTCAGAGAGGGAACACACGTCATGCTGGGAAGCCTTTAAAGCGCTGGGACTTCAGGCCAGTGTACAAAGGTTTAACTAAATAAACTGATGTTCTTTTTCTTGTCCCTCCGCCCATCTGGCTTAGTTTGCCCAAAACATCTGGTTTTGATTGCTTGTGATCAGGCTGACCCATTTTTTATCCTTAGTATGTGGCTAAACAAACTGGGAATGTTCAGAAGAGAAGTTCCTGAACACAGGCAAGAAAAGGGATTAATTTCTTTTGAGTCTGTTATGATACAAAATTCTGATGTGACACCTCAAAACTCTGAGAAACGAAATGTTCTGTGAAGCAACTGAGCTGGATCTTTGTTGGATGGAACCATTGTTCAGATGCTTCACTCGCATTGCTTTGGAAGGCCCCCCTGAGTAAAGAGGCCTTTTTCAGTCATTTTTTCCTTTCTGACTTGCTTTCTGGGAGTGAGATGAAAGCAAATACTTCCTTACCACAGCCTTGATAAAGACACTGTAGATGTCTTTCTGGGAGTCTCACTGATGGCTCTTAACAGTTTCTTTCTATGCATCGCTATGCTCTGATCGTTTTCTTTTCCGATGGGTAGAAAGTCACTGGTTTTCCTCCTAAAATGAATTTTTTTTCTAGGAAAGCTCCTCGAATGTTACTTTACTAATGTTGTTTCTCTGCAAGCAGGGCTTTGAGATGGAGGACATAAACCAGCAGCCTCCCCGCACACAGGTATTTCTCCAGTTTAACTTCCTGTGCTGTGGACTAGGCCATGGCCTGGGAAAGGCAGTGAGTTGGTCAGCCAGTGTAAATGACCAAACCAGACCCGTAGTGGTCCCATTCAGACACCCTGAGAACTTAGCGTGCACAAACATTTCTGGCTGTGTCCTGTGAGATCATCATATATCATCTCTCTGTTTGTAGCAGCAGAGAGCCAGGAGGATCTATTTCATAAGGAAGATTTTGACATACATTTTTGCGAACCCTTCTCTTCCATGAGATGCAGTGAGCCTCATTTGCGGTAACAGGCGTGCAAGAAAGATTCTCACGCTTGTTCTCCCTGTGTTTCTGTTTCTTGTCTTCCTAGTGGGCTGTTCATTGCAATGATTGTGAGTCTGCTCTTCCTTGTGTTATTGAGGTTCACAGCTGGGGTTCTCTTCTGGATTTTCATCTTTGGAGTGATTGGAATTATAGGTTATGGTAGGTGTAATCCTCCAGCCTCTGAGGCTATTTTTCCTTATTGCTTGATTTTTGGCAAGGAAAGTAAGCGATCACATCAATTAAATGCTATAGTTGGGAGAACTAGTGCCTGGGTTTTGGCATCGTTAAGTGAGAGGGGCTTAAATGGCAGTGAAATTTAGTAAGAATCCAGCCATGCTGCTACTTGGCACCAGATGTAGTAACCCGACCTATCTACCCACAGTGGGCTTAGTCTGGGTTCACTTGTACGGATCTCTCTTTTCTCTCTATGTTCTCTATGTGATGTTATAGCTGACTAGTCTCGCAGTAAGGTGTGTTTGGGTTTTGCTTACCTGATGTGCTGAGGACAAAACGCTTCACTTGTCAAAGATTTAAAACCCCCCAACCTTGTCTTTGCACTCTTCAGAAACACTCATTTTATACTGATTGTTTTTTAACAGGCATCTGGCATTGTTACTGGGAGTACGACCATCTTAAAGGAATACCTGGATCTGACCTCACTGTTTATGATATTGGGTTCCAGACAGATTTCAGAGTGTACCTGCAGCTGAGGCAAACATGGTTAGCATTTAGTAAGTGCCCTTTAAACTTGCTATCTGTTAATGGATACTCAGGAGATTCAGTCACTGTCTTGCTAGTTTCTGCCTTGTTAAATCTCCTCCTCTACGTATGTTGCTCATAGAAGTCTGCAGAATTCTCTTTCTTCTACAAAGTACAAGTATCTACTTCTTTTGGGAGGCTACTGGTGTGTTTGTAAGGGGCCCTGATGCAGTCGCACTAGAGATGAGAGTGAAGAACGGTTGTGTTACTGGCATTCTACTTCCTGTGTGTTCAGTCTTCGCAATGGGGAAGTAGAAGGCAATAACCAAGTCCTGATGAAGGTAAGGGGGGGGCATTTTGCTCTCTCAGTCTGTTTATGCTCCCTCCTTGAGGGCCCCAGAAATGAGATTAATAACTCTATGCTGCTTTTGTAGACCCGTTTACATTCAGGTCACTGAATTTTCTTGGAGGCTGACCCCAGGCTGTGGAATGAACCATCACAAATGTCATGACCTCTAGTTTTCAAAAGTGCTTCTCTTACAAGGGCAATGTATTTAAAACAATCCTACGGGAACAAGAGACCCTGCAGCATATGCGTCCTTCCCGAGGGAAGGGGTGGCACAAGAGAGAACAAATACCTGTTAAATACTACTTGTAGTGCTGTTACTGCTCTATTAGCAGGCACACAGATACTAACTGATGATGAATGGCACATAACCTAAAATGTATTTAAAACAATCCTACGGGAACAAGAGACCCTGCAGCATATGCGTCCTTCCCGAGGGAAGGGGTGGCACAAGAGAGAACAAATACCTGTTAAATACTACTTGTAGTGCTGTTACTGCTCTATTAGCAGGCACACAGATACTAACTGATGATGAATGGCACATAACCTAAACCACTGCCTCTCCCTATTGGTAGCTAAGTTAATAGAGCGGTAGTTTACTGCTTAAATCTCCTTTCTCTGCTTTGTGTCTTTGTGTAACTGTGTTGGATCATCGAGCTCACGAGCATCTTCTACATATTGTTGAGGCAGAGCGTTTTAGCATGCAAAAAAGCCCTAAGAATATTAGAGTTTTATTATGTCTTCCCTTATAACTCCCCTGCCTTTAGCAGCCAAAGTATAGTTTACCCAGAGGTCAGTGTCACTTTCAGATGTGTAAACTGAGGTACTGAGGTATTAAATTACTTTTCCAAAGTCACCCAGCAGATCAGTTAAATATCCTTGAAGAAAACGTAGCTCCTCTTAGTCCTAGTCTAGAACTCATCCCGGGCTGACGTTGCTTTCCTTTTTCACAGTGTTTGGGACAAGCTATATTAATTTAGGAGAGCTGAACTGGGTTGAGACCAACTTCAAAGGAACCTGCCTATGTATTCCTTCATGGGGAACCATATCAGAAATAGGTGCAGAAATGTGTGTAACAAAAACTTTGGTCTGAAGAAAGTCTGTGGCTCTGAGCACCACAGGGGTCACTTGCCACGTGCAGTTCCGATGGCTAGGGATACTGGTAGTACTTGGGATCACAATCGAACGTCACCTCTGACTATCTGCGTCTGGACTCTGAGACTGTGTCAAAGCTGTGGGACCTGAAGCCAATTCCCCTGTCCCGCTGCAAACCTCCAGACACGCCATGGCTTAGGGATACGATCCCTTTGTGTTCCTCTCCCTCCACAAAACTTCTTGGTTTCAGCTGGGGGAGGCAGGTCCTGCTGTGTGTAACCATCCACCACTGCTGGGCTGGTTTAGATGTTGTCTAACGCTCTGAAGCACCCAGAATTAACGGATGTGTCTCAGGGTCAGAGGGGATGTGCTTCAGGTGTTTAAGACTCTGCCTTCTCTAGGTGGAGTCCAGAGAATTCTTTTAATTTCTATTGCAGAAGTAGGTTTTGAACTGGCACAGATAGAAATCAGACAGAAGCTGACTCTTTAAACAAGATCTGGGTTATGAATTGAACACTGCCCGTAACTAAGAGAGGAAATGTTCTGGGACGTGGTACTCTCAGATCTGTAATCTTGGAGCAAGTTTATGTGATTCCAGCAGCACAACTGGAAGGTGAAAATATTTTTGTCCAAAACTATCTTAGCCTTTTTGATTTTTTTGCCTCAAATGAGGGGAAAGGAGCTCACGCCAAGCTAACGCTCGGACAAGCCTATTGATTTAAGTATATCTAAATGTTAGAGGGGTATGTATCAGAAAACTGCACTCCTCAGGAAGAAGTTGACTCTTCATCTCCTTTTTATTATTTTATTGTATCTAAATACTACGAATTCGCAGCATTAGAGTATAACCATGCAAAATGCTTGTTATAAAAAGCAGCATTTGTTAAGGGTGAACTGTCAGGGTCCTGCCCCCTCTGGCAAACTCTTGGCATGTAGAATTTCCCCCCCCAAAACTATGAAATGGGATTGAAGATTGGCAGCTGCAGTGAGAGAAGGAAAGGGCTGCTTTAGTGGAGAATTCTATTGAGTTCATGAACAATAGTGCAGAACACAAGGGCGGGGGGGGGAGGAATTACAGACTCGGACTATTGGTTCAGTTCTTGATAAATCTAACTTTTGTTTGTTTACAGTGATAATACTTTGTGGTGTTGAGGTCATAATCATACTGATGCTGATCTTCCTAAGGAATCGGATCCGGATCGCCATTGCACTCTTGAAGGAAGGCAGTAGGTATGTTTGCCTGATTTTTGGGAGTATATTTTGAATTTTATTAAATGCTCTCTGGACTATGCTCTTCTTGAGCTTCATCTTGCACTACCAAGGGCAGGAAGTTGGGGTTGAAGTACAGCACTGGATTTGTTGAGCCGTACAGATAGTATAAAGAACGCCAGTTCTCTGTTAATGAGATTGTGCTTGTAAGAGCTTTCTCTTTTGCAGTAAGACATTTCTCATCTCCCGGGTCCCTGCCTTAAGAGTACATATGCTGTTAGCGACATCATGTATCCTGGGTGCAAGGAGGTGTGTGCCAAGTGTGGGACACTAGTAATAGGAGCCTAAGACCTGTAGCTACCAGCTTTGCTGTGTCGTTGGATTGTCTCCAGAGAGACATATACTAGTGGTAGAGGAGTGGTTGTTTTGGCTGGGGCTGTTAATTTAGGAAAGACTGGATCCTTATGGCTCCAGTCAACTTTTTGTCTGGACGTGTAAATCTGCAGAGAGAAAAGGAGAATTCCATGACCAGGCGTGGTAATACGGTGTAGTCCAAGGCTTTCCTTTTCAGCTCTGAGTGCAGAGGAAGGCAGAGCAGGATGTGAGAGTTGAGGGCCTGGGAGACCTCTTCATTTTGTGTTTTCTGAAATGTGGATAGACTTTATTCACAGTGGTTCCTGGTTTATACAGTGCCAGCTCTTAGTTCTGGTTTGAGTTTGGTTTGGGTTTGTTTTAATGGGAATATAACAAAGGAGAAATGGATTTAACACACCCTTGGATTTCATTGCAAATAGGCTAAGGTCCCATAGGCCTTGGAAGTAGGGCTCTGTTGGAGCACATGGAGTTAGCTCTGAGTTTATCTGTGTGCACTTGCTTGTAGCTTTCTGCCCTCTCTGATGACGTTATGGTTCTCAGGAGTCAGGATTTAGGATTTTTGTAATGGGATTAGGAAATACTGAAGTTCTGCATTCAGCCAGGTGCCTGTTTCCTGTCTTATGCTACTGTGCAGTTAAAGCACAGCAATTAATTTTGGCAGCACTGAATTATCCTCTTTAATTCCTGTTCATTAAAATCCAGGAACACTTTTAACGCTCTGCAACACTTTTGTTCACAACCTTGACAGGTAGAAGGATTCCAGGAAGCTCATAAACTTCCTGCTGGGAAGTGATAACATTCTGTAGTTTTTCAGCAGCGTAGAAAGGTCACTTGAGGGTGATGTTTTTATTCTCATGCATAATGCATGAGGTGAAGCTCTGTGTGCAATTACTGTAAACCTAACAGACCGTGCCCTGTATTCAGGAAGATGCAAAACAAGCTGCTAATGACTGGAAATTGAATTACATTTTTCAATACCTTTTAACTACTCTTTCAAAAATATTACAATAGTCTTGAAATCCGTAGGTGCAAACAGTTAACAGTCATTACTCTGTCCATGGTCTCAGTGGTAACCAAGAGACCTACCGTGAGTTGCCGAATGCTGCTAGTACGTAGTGACTATTTCTCCCGTGTGCCTCTTACTGGACTTCTACATCTCTAGACTCAGACAGAAATGGATGTGTTGCTCTTCACCTTCCAAGCGCACACGACGGCTCCCTTATGCTCTCCCCGGCATTTAATAGTTTAGCAGTAGGAATTGGGTAAATTTGTCTGCTTTTACATCTTGGAAACTGCCTTCTGTCAAACACATAGCATCAGAAGTGCCACAAGTCAATACTGTAGGAAATCCTGAGACAAAAAGGCTTGCAGTAAGCTTACAGGGTCACTGGAAAGACAATTTAGAGTAACAGGAAGAGGTAGGTTGCCAGAATATGAAGAGAACCAACCTGTAAGCTTCAGTGAACAAAACCGTGCTCTCTGAAATCCCATCCCTTGAGATAAACTGGCTGGGGGCGCTCACCTGCGAGGTTGCTGTGGCCAGCTTAGCCAGCGGGGCTGTATCCACTCGCTTACAGAGAGGAGTCCCTGGAGGAGCAGGAACTGGCACACTCAAGTTCCTGCTCACTAGTTGCATTCTAACAAGAAGTATTAGTAGAATGTCAGCCGGGATGTTAAAAGGAGCTCTCTAAGCTGCCAACAGTGAAAGGCCATTCTTCTTTCTGTCTGCCAACAGCCAAAGGGGAGCACTGTTCATTTAGGGCACATGGAAGGAAAATCACATAGTGTCAGGAAGGTGTTAGCATGTCCCGGCGTTACAATGACAAACTTAATGTCCCTGCCCCAAAATAGTTAGTACTTAAGGCACGAAATGGGCTGGGAACAGAGTTCTCAAATGCAAAGTAGCAAGAGGTAATTTCAGGTGTGTAGGAGCTGAGGGAAGAGCATATGAACTGAGCAGGGTGAGACAAGGAAATAAAGGGTAGTGTCTGCAGCAAGAAGATGTGATTGAAATGGGTTTGTGGCCTGGAAAGAGCTGGATCTGTGAAGCAGTAATAGAGAAGGAGGAAGCAGAAGACAGGCTGGAACATGGCAAACCGATAATGTTGATTGTAGTGCTGCTGATAAAAGTGGAGTGGTAGAAACGACGAAGTGAAGATGTAAGGACATCTGAAGAAAGAATCTGCAGTATTTTGAGATCCCAGCTCTAGATTATGCTACCACTATCAACGAGCAGCCCAGAGTAAAAAGGATGATGCTAGAAGAGGGCTGATAAAAAGCTTGTTTCTTAAATTGCTGCAGCTTACTGACATGTTTTGTTTCTTTCGTAGGGCTATTGGCTATATAATGTCTACGTTGTTCTACCCAATCGTCACCTTCCTACTCATTGCAGTTTGTATTTCCTACTGGGCTGTGACAGCTGTGTATCCTTCTGCCTGTGTACCTCTCTGGTACCTCTCTGCCAAGGCAGAGGATCATACAAGGTCTTTTATACTACATAAGGTTGACTTCCAGGGGTGAAAAAGGAACCTCAGCAAAGAGTGAATGTGCCCTTTATTGGCTGTATGCTCTATAGACCTGATGTTAATGGTCACTTAGGTAGCTTGGGTGGGCTCCACATGTGTTTTGTTCAGAAAAACATAGGAGAGGAGTGAGAGACCATATAGTGCCCTGAGTCCTCTGAATTGGCTGACAGCAGCCACTGTCTGTTCCTGAAAGGCAAGGGTTTGGCAAGGTGTCAGAAAGGAGAAAGGCACTTTTTAAAAACAGATTGTTCTTTCTCATGCGAAGAGGGTCACTTATTGTTGTACAGGACAGTGCTGCTTTATCCTTTTGCTCTGTGCCTACTTCCACCAGAATCCAAACTGCCAAAGAACTACTACTGCATAATCCGCCTTGTCAGAGCTGGATGTGCAGGAGAGACTGAGTCAACTTTCAAGGTTATTCCCCTTGCCCATTCTGGTCATGGCATACAGCTCTGGGACGAAGTTTGCCTTAGTCTGTAAGCAATGAAAGTATTCAGTCTTGTCTGGGACCCTTCATACATATCTCTGCATAGCAAGAGCAGTTTTTCTGTTACCTGCACATGTGTTTTAGAGCTAGTGGTTACCCACTGCAGACTCCTGAGTTGCTCAAAGCCCACAGTTCTGTGATTCCTCCTTAAAATACCTCATTCAGTTTTCTGGCTACATCAGGAGAACCTGTGTATAAAGTAATGGCCAATCAAACACTGTGCAAGTATGCAAACCTGACTTGTGACCCAGAGGTAGGTGTTACAAATACTTACCTGAAGGGAGAGCTATACTAATTGTATTTCTTAATCTCTATTAAATGCAATGTGAGAAGATGTGCATATTTTAAGTAATGACTCCTTGTGTTATATCTGAAAACCTGAAAATAGTGCTTTGTGTTCAGCTAAGACTCCTTTGTTCAAAGCAATTTCGAGATACAAATCAGTTCTTTTGCGGAAGTGTCCTGTGAGCAAGTGAGTACCAACCAGTCTCATTTACTGGGTGAGAAAGGAAGACACAGAAATACAGGTTTATTTGGAAAAGTGTTCCTGAATTCATGAGGATTCTATTTCTGTGGTTTGCAAAAGGCAATGGAAGAATTTGAAAGCTGTGCCTCAAACGTGCCCAAAGACCAGCCACGTTTCAAAGCAGAGGCTTGGCTGCTTTTGGCACAGTAATGACCTTTATGAAGCATTATGAAGCTCCAAAAGTGTCTTTTGACTTGACTGTGGGGTTGAATTGAAGCATTTTCTGAAAACTAGAAATATTTATCAAGTGTTATATCAGGGTTGTTTTCAGGTGTTTAAATGTCAACGTACTGCTGTGGCTAGGTACATCCCAAACAATTCCCGGCCATCCTGATACCCGAACACTAAAAAAGAAAGGGATGAGGAACTGACTGATTTTATTTAATGCCCAAACTGAGCAAACACGTGAATTGAACAACAAAAATAGGGAAGAGTAATTTGATGTAAAGACTACTCCTGATTTAATACCATAAGATAGGCAAGGGAAGTTGTGACACATCCACAGCTTGTATAGAATGGCATAGCTCAGCTGATTTCACTTCAGTTGTGGTGATTTACACAAGCCCCATATTTGGCCTCTGGTTTTCAAATATGCTTTTTTCCTTACTGTTATTTTTTAATGTGAGCAGCTTTTCTTTAATGAAACTGAAGCACTTGGGTATCTTAAAAGTATATTTCTGACATTCAAATTCCATATCTATAGATTTCAGGCATGTGGTAAACAGCCTTGTTTGCCAACCGTATAGTTGAAAGTTAAGCACCTGCGTAAGACATTAATGTGAATCCTTAAATATGTAAACAGGTTACATAGTACTGGAGTGCAGTGTTGAATGATCTAATAGGACATCAAGCAGAATGATGTGATTTGTATTAAGCTGCTAAATTTCAGAGCCTGTGAACGCAGAATTCAGTGCTTATCACTGTGGTGTTTGTTTTTCTTCCCATACAGACTTTTAACACAACCAATGTCACTAAATTGTGTCCAGGTGCTCAGTGTACTTTTGCATTTTACGGAGGAGAAAGCCTGTACCATAAGTACATCTTCATCTTCCAGTTAGCCAATGCCTTTGTCTTTCTCTGGCTGGTGAACTTTGCAATTGCACTCGGTCAGTGTACCCTTGCTGGTGCCTTTGCCTCCTATTACTGGGCCTCTCGAAAACCAGCTGATATTCCCCTATGGCCGCTCTTCTCTTCATTCGGACGAGCAATACGGTAAGACCGTGGGGCTGGAAGTGAGCCCTCTCACATGCCCAGCGAGTGCACGTTTTACACGTAGGGAAGCCAGGCTTAAGACTGTCAAAGGGAAATGATGAGTCAGCACTGCACTTTACTCTCGGTGGGAGCCACGTCCCACCCAGCTTGCTCGCTCCCTCCTCACAGTGGGACAGGGGAGAGAATCGGAAAGGTGAGAGTGTGAAAATGCGTGGGCTGAGGTACGGAGCTGTGTGCGCAGGCAAAGCGCAGTGCGGAATCCATTCACCACTTCCCATGGGCAGGCGGGTGTTCGGCCATCCCCAGGGCAGCATGGCTCCATCACGTCTAACAGTGACTTGGAGGACAAACACCATCACTCCACATGGGTGTGTGTCCCCTTCTTCCTTTTTCTTTCCCAGCTGTTACTGTTGTGTGCACCATATGGTGTGGGATATCCCTTTGGTCAGCTGGGGTCAGCTGTCCTGGCTGTGTCATAGAATCATATAGAATCACAGAATCATGGAACGGTTTGTGTTGGAAGGGACCTTAAGGCTCATCCAGTTCCAACCCCTGCCATGGGCAGGGACACCTTCCACTAGAGCAGGTTGCTCCAAGCCCCTGTGTCCATCCGGGCCTTGGGACACTGCCAGGGATGGGGCATGTCAGGGATGAGTTTGTCCCCTCCAAACTCCTTGTGCACCTCCAGTGTGCTTGCTGGCGTGAGGAGCAGAAAAGGCCTTGATGCTGTGTAAGCACTGCTCAGCAGTGGCTAAAACATCCCTTTGTTATTAGCGCTTGTTTTCATCACAAGTCCAAAACACAGACCTGTACAAGCTACTATGAAGAAATCTGACCCTATTCCATCCAAACCCAGTACAGTCAGGAAAATGTAGTTGTTAGGGGGAGGCTGAATCCTGTAGCCCAACAGCAGCAAGGCTGCTGCAGCTCCATGCCCCCAGCTCCAGCCAAGTACAAGGCTGAGCAGGTATTCCCTGTAGGCACACCCCCCCAGATACATGTATACAACACATGTATACACAGCCAGTCACACAGCCAGCCACAGTGCTCAAGCACCGAAAGCACTGATGGCTTCATCCTGTTCCTCTCCCTGGTGGATCAGGGTAGTGGTCCATTAGTATATGTAATTCCCACTAATGGACCTTCCTCCAGTTATAATTTTATTTATATATATACACACACATGCACATACATGCATAACTGTAAATATACACATATGTGCAATATAACAGTCATTTATTTTGTTTTAGATACCATACTGGTTCGCTGGCATTTGGAGCCTTAATTCTTGCAATTGTCCAGCTCATTAGAGTAATACTGGAGTACTTGGATCACAAACTGAAAGGTGAGATTTATGAATCTGCCCTGGTTTATCGAGACCTCCTCTGGTAAATTACTTCCTTCCCCTCCCAATATGTTTTTTCATCAATGAAAAGAGAGCTTTAGCCATCGTAGTTCCATTTGAAGCCAGTGAATTTATGCTGATTTACTCAAATTGAGTCTGTGTCCTTGGGACCCTAATGCAAAGCTCATGTGGGGGATGTGGATCTGCTCTAATTGAAAGCAACTGAGCTAAATTTGGTTGAGAGAGTCCATACCTAGAAGAAAAGAAATAATGTTTCTTCATTTGTCATGATTTAAGAGTTTCTTACGAATACCTTTCCATGTTCTGCAAAAGACGCTTCAGGAGCTCTGTGTATGATGTGTTCTCCTCTTTTCCAGGTACACAGAACTCCTTCACTAGATTTCTGCTCTGCTGCCTCAAATGCTGTTTCTGGTGTTTGGAAAAATTCTTGAAATTTATAAACAGAAATGCCTACATCATGGTATGTGCTGTCTGTGCATGTGGTCTCCCCTGTCTGGGGCACTAAAATACCCTAGCCACTCCTCGTTGCTCAGCAGCCAGCGGTACTAGAATCTGCTGGAAAAATAGTGGGATTTCTAGGAGTTGTCAGGAGGTGCATGTGGGCCCACCCTGGAAAAGCACCATTATTTTTTTTCCCCTGCTTCTAAACTCAGCTTCTTTTCATGCCTGTCCTTGTCCATCACCCTCACCCCCCAAAGCAGGTGGGAAGAGATGGCGTAACTGCTTAACTCCCCATCTGAGTCAGCAGCTGAAATCCTGATTTCAACAAACAGGAATATGAGCTCATTTCATATCGCATGATGACACTTCAGTTTGGAGGCAGTGTTAGTGTAAGGCACATGGTATCTGTACTTCCTCCTCCTCCTGGAAGTTAAAAGCACAAATTCTACCAGCAGTGGTGGTGCTATTTCTCTAAAATAATCCTTCTTAACTTCCAGAAGAGAAATTCCATGTTCTCATCTAAGTAAACACGCACGGATGTCAGCCTAGGATGTTCTGACTGGAAACACTGTCAGTGTTTGAATGGTACAGTCCTGGCTTGTTATCTCAAAGGAGGTGGCTGGAATGGGTCTATTATAACCCATGTTCATGCAACTGGTGTTAGAAATTAATGCCATCTGGAAAAGGAAGTATTCTTGTTGACTATCTTGTTTACAGTTGCTAAACTGAATGCACTGAGAACTGTTCTAGTACATCCTACCCTGGTGGACGCTGTTCTAGGAAGAGGAAGAAAAGGTTTTGTTCCTGAATAACTTCAGCCGCTTTACTTTATGTTGATATAAATCCACTTTGATACTGGTATTGCTGATTCCTATTAAGTGAGAGCAGCGTCAAGTCCAAGGACACTTGGGTTAACTCACTTCTGCTTTACGAGTGCCTGTTCTTTCCACTGACTATAAATCTAGTGTGGGCAACAGGTGGAGTGAGAATCCCTCAGCAAGTACCTTATCTGCTCTACTTGGCAAACTCAGTACTGCATGCACTGCCTGCCAGATCGCTGGGGTGGCACACTCGTCACCGGGTCATTTGAAAGGGAAAGATGGGTAATACGCTGTCCCGACGTGGTGGGAACATTGAGAGGTAGCGGGTGACCGGGGGAAGAGCTTTGTGTTCACCTGGGTCGCACCGCACGTACCAGAGCGGTGCCCTGCGCTCTGTAAGCTGCTGTCACACAAGGGGGATCCTCATTATTTAAATACTGAACTGCGACTGCTCTTTGCAGATTGCCATCTATGGTAAAAACTTCTGCACCTCGGCGAAGGAAGCGTTCTTCCTGCTCATGCGGAACGTGGTAAGGTAAGGGGCCGCCTTCCAGGACTTGGAATGTTGGGATTTCCGCTGTCGCGCTCTGAAGACGTGCTTCTGACCTCTCCCATTATTGTAATGTCCTTCTGTCCTCAGACACGACCCTCACTTGTGGCAGTGTGTAGCAGCAGGCTCTCCAGCACAGCAACCTTATGCAAAGTTGATGAAATCCAACAGTTTTGTTGTGATTTGCTCTTTCAAATTCATAACCATCCAGTATAGATTCCTCCAAGGAGCCAGTGGAGCCCTTAATAGGAGACATGCAGATATACAGGAATGGGGTGCTCATCATCTGCCATATGTGTGTTTCTTAAGCTTTGGTCGACTCGCTGTCTGTGAAAAAGGAAAGCAAAAATACCTAAGTCTTCAGATTGAACCAGAAAGCTTATGGGGTGTCAGGGAGTGGAAGAAAAGAAGAGAATACTTTGCTTTCCAAACCAGTATCTGTAACATACCCAGATCTACCCTGGTGCTGGGAACTCCCCTGGCCCTTTTCCCCACTACGAAGACTGCTGCCAAGCTCCCTCTTCTCATCAGTACTTTTCCTCATTGCTCCTGGCTCTTTCCTGTACTACCGTGCGATCAAAACGTAGTGGAAGAATAACTTAGGAGGAGGCCATGTTGATACAATAGTAGACAGCCCGATTGCCAAGCAAGACACAGTAAAACTGGTTTGGTGATTTAAATTAAGTGAAGGACTGGGAGGTGGAGATGAATGGAGGGGGAGGCTGAAAGAGGAAAATGAAAATGATGGTTATGAAACAAGAGGGAAGGATTGGAGATGGGAGAATGGAATGCATTCACTGTGTTACCCCGCAGTAATAGTGGCACAGTGGTGCCCACGCCTGTGCAATAGGGCAGAGAAGCTGCCTTCATTTCCTTTCCTAACATCACCTCACTGACTTTTGTGCTTTTGCTCTTAATCAGTAAGAGCAAGAGCTAAAAGCCAGGCATGTACTTTTATTGTTTCAGAAATGATTTTGTCTTGTGTATTTTGCTAATTTTGAATTCTGACAAGTTAATGATGATTTGTTCTCTTTAATATTCCTTAGTGTTCGTCTTTCATGGTAGTCAGTGCTGTATATTACCATATCCATAGCCTTCAGGCTGATGATACAAAGGTCATTTTCCATTCCATTATTTACCTGCAGTTTCTAGTAGGACAGACTGGCAGTATTTCAAGCAGAAACTCCCTGATGTTGCTTTCAGTGAGGGCTGTAGATCTATTGTCAGTTCTGCTGTCTACCTTCATTCATTCGTCAGTGATTGTCTCCCTGCTTTGAGGCCTCCTGCCTTCAGTGTTGTACATGATATCTTAAAATAGCGGATTTGGTATGGTATGGGGCTGTGAAATGTGGCCAGATAGGACCAAGTGAAAAGAAGACCTACCAGCAATCCACACAAGCATTGCTCTTCTGGGCTGGTTCTTCAAGGCCAGGCTGGACAGAGCCTTGGGCTACATAGCTTAGTGTGTGGTGTCCCTGCTCATGGCAGGGGGGTTGGAACTAGATGATCTTAAGGTCCTTTCCAACCCTAACTATTCTACGATTCTGTGATTCTATGATTCTATCTGTGACGCCAGAAGAAAGGCTGAAATAAACATATTTTGATGTTTTGTTTTGTTTTGTTTTTTAACCATCAAGAGCAGTGAATGGTTTTCAAGTGCAGAATTAGTATTGCTGTATTAACTCACCAAGAGGCTCAGTGCTGCTTTGCTTCCTGGGGTCAGCCTGTGACAAAGCCCATCTCAGTGTTGTGTTTCTGTGTGGTTGTATTGCCAGCCCATGACACCAGCAGAAGACACCTTTTTGGTTGTTTGTCAATTATCTGTAGATAAACTATAGATTTAAGGAGAAATAATACAAATGTCTGGATGGTGATTACGTATCATTTGTGCTTTGCTGAACAGAGTTGCAGTTCTGGACAAAGTTACAGACTTCCTTTTGTTCCTGGGGAAAATCCTCGTTGCTGGTGGTGTAGGTAAGCTAATGGGTTTTGTCCAGCAGTACATTCTATGTTCTGGTATGTCCAAGCACACCATGTTCGTATGTGCTTAGTTAGCAGCTGGAGGTTCTCATGGATCTGCCTGTTTGGGAACTTCTCGGTGTTTGTGGATCTTGCAGGATTGAACTAAAATGTTTCTTTTCTTTTTCCTCCCTCTCTCTCGCCCAGTCTGCTGTTGGCAGCATCTTCTCCGTAACTGGAGGAGGTGGGGCAGGTCTGCAGGAGATGGGCCTGAAGCTCTTCTGAATTCAAGCCCATTATAGCTGTAAGCTATAGTAAAAAAATATTTCTAACATCCTTACAGGGGTTTCTTAGTTATCAGTAAATATAAAAAATATTATTGATGCTTTTCTGTGACAGAAAAGTGTTGGGTTTTGGGTTTTTTTTCATGGAACTCTCTCAGAAATGGGGTTGAAGTGTTCCCTCACTGTGTTCACAACTGTCACAGCTGTTTCAATCATTATTTTACAAATAATCACATTTTGTATTCCATATACTTAAAAAAATTACTAACAAAGTCTATAAAATTAGTCCCAAGAGCAGATCTAAGATACTTTGTTGTTACTCTAGAATGACTTTCAGCTGGGGTAGCAAATTTGATTTGAAACACGTTCCCCAAAATGTAAGCCATGGAATAGTGAAATTAATTCATGTCTTCGTCTTCCTCAAGAATAAACTCTTTGGGTGATTTCTGTTGCAGGTGCATTGGTCTGTTCTAAACTTCTTGTCATGCTTATCTCTAGTACTGCCATTTCTCTGTTTAATCTGAAGCAGTTCAGTATTTCTTCAAGCAATAAAAGTTAAAACATCAGAATTTTCTCACTCTTTTTTATTTTACAAAAGATCCACCCAATGGTCCTTGTTATCCCATGTCATCGTCTTGTTTATCATCATCTATTAATTATGCTATTAAATCCAGTAGAATGATGAAACAAAACAATTCATTAAAGTCTCTCTGGGCCCATGAATATCTTTATGGTAATTGATTCATTTACATATCTCTTCTGTCAGAATACAGATCCAGCAGATAGTTGGTGTTGAGGAATTCACTGGTTACAAGCTCGTATTTAATCCAACCTCAGTTCTATTGTCTGTTTGTTTTGTCTCACCCATTCTTTAGTCTTAGAAGATCAGAGTCAGTATGGGAATCACTGATCCTCTCTGCTTCTTGCAGGTGTTCTTGCGTTTTTTTTCTTCACACAGAAGATACCAGTCATTGCACAGGAAGCACCAACGTTAAATTACTACTGGGTACCATTGTTGGTAAGGCAACCACCTACTCTCCTGGACACAGAGCAATTTGAGGTGCCCAGACTACTCAGGGAATGGTCTGGTAGCAGCTTGTGTTGTCACCCTCAGTGGCACACTGTCCACTGAGGTGAGGATTGATCTGCAAAGGCTGGTGGTGAGGCACCAATGTCAGTGTGGCTTCTAGTGGAAGGGACTTGTGATGCATCTCTTTGTCCTTTTGTAGCCACTCTAGGCTCTGGGACATCTCCAGGGTGAGGGTTCTTTAGAGTAAACTTGAAGGAGTTCAGAATATTCTTGGCATATGTTCTCTTTGTGGGTTGAAATGGCTGCAATTTGGCAGCTGGAAAGCCAGCAGCTATTGCATGTTAGAATACAGTGTCTTGAGGCTCTGATCCCTTTCCACAGACGTAGTAACCTTTGGTAGAATTACCGAGCTGCCGTTCTCCTAAATTTGCTTAGCAGACTAGGCTTCTGACTGGTGTTAACACTGCCACAGTGTTACTGTGTTAACTGAATGTTAACTGAATCTGAGGGTTTATTGTGTTGGTTTTTTGCAGACAGTCATTATCGGCTCCTACCTAGTTGCACACGGGTTCTTCAGCGTCTATGCAATGTGTGTCGACACGCTTTTCCTCTGCTTTTGTAAGTACCATGGTTTCTTTCACTAATACCTGCAAGTGATGGGAAGAGTAGAAAACCACCTTATCCATTCCTTGCGGAATTCTGGTGACATGCTGTCAGACTGTGAAAAACAAACTGCTTTTCAGACTGGCTTTTTGATGCATTCTTCAGTGCAGAAGTGTTTCAGTGTTCAATTTTAGTTAGTTTAAGTAATGGAAGGTAGCTGTCTGGCACTTGGGGATATCTGGCTTTTGTTTTTCGGATGTTCCTTAACTTTCATTAACAGTTTTTTTCTGGGTGCTTTGTGAAGGGCCCTGTACAGCAATGATTTACTCACACCTCTTGTTAATAACAAAGTTATTCTCTGGTATACATGTTTTTTTTCAACTTAACAGCCCTGAACAGAGTATTATGCTGAATTGTCTTCAAATTTGTGTAAAATACCATTTAACAAACTATCTGTCCCTTGGGCTCACCAGTGGCAAGCAATCTTGGGCACTCTCAAAGGGACCACTGCTGTTCAGTGTGTCCAGTCAGAGAATACTGAAGTCACAATAAAAGTCTGTTGGTCTCAGATTAGGACATGACTATAAGAAGAGGATGTACGTATTACAAAATACATTAAATTTTCTAGATGTATTAAATTAAAGAAATAAAGATGTAATTTTCCTATAATCATTCTGGTAGGCCTGAGTTGAAGCTTCATGGCAGTGATTGTTCTTGCAACTCTGGATAATACTAAGGGGATACTGAAACAGTCATAGACTTGATCTAGCACATGCATGGTGAATCACTGAGGCAAGATAAACATGGTAATACTGATCCTCTTTTTACAATAGCAGAAAGTCCTTATTTCCTTTAAACGCTCACCTTAACCTTGCTTCCCGAGGAACTAAGCTTAGCAGTGATTCTGGAAATACTGAGTGACCAAAGAATCACAGAAACAAAACTGGTCAGAAACCTGAAAGTTAATATCTAGTTGAGAGCTATTTATCTTGGGTTGCAGACTTTGGTTCTAAACAAACATGATCACAGGCAGACATAGATCTAATAACACTCCAGAAATAAGTTACTATTGTTATTTAGAATGAAATGGAAATTGATCAAACTAATTAAATGTAGAAAGTTTTTTGGTGCACCCAAATATTAGCAGTTTTCCTTTTAATGCATTCCAAAGCCACAGGGTATATACTGCCTTGAAGATACATAAAGATTTGATTCCTCTAATGTCTTTGGCCATCCCTTACATCTAGTGCTCTCTCTCTGGCCTCGGCAGGGTTGCACTTGCAATGACTGTGCTTCCCTGCACACTCCCTCCAGATTGCCCATCAGTGTGAAATTCTTCTCTGGTCTGTGACTACTGTGTGGCACAAACACTGGGCTGAACCCAGTTTAGTCATGGCCTTCTGGAGGAGAAAAAGCAGTATGTCTGCCTCATTTAAAATTCATATTCTGGTTTGCTTCCCATGTTTCTTCTATTCAGTAATGGACAGTAGGAGATCATACAGAATATTGTGGCATCAGGTTTTCAAAAGAACTTTATCTTAGGCAGTGAAAAAGGGTCCAGTTTTAAAAAGCGCTTAGATCCTCAGCTCTCTTCAGGGCAAAATTTTAAGCAAGAAATGCCAGGCTTCAGTGGAGGCATGAGTGTTTCTGAGAATTCCCACCTATGCTGCCAAACCAAAGACCTAGGGAATAAACTGGATATATTGCTGCCATTTAAAAATGGCTGGATGTTTGTGTCTCTGCTTTGTGTAGAACTTCTTCTGGATTGACAAAATAGAAATTTGATAGTGTCCTTCATCAACTTAACAATACAGGGGAACTGCCTTGACTGAGATTGGTTTTTAATATTGGGTCTTCTTCTGCTCTCTCCTTTCTTCAATTCTGTATGTGTGTGTGGTTGAACTGCTGTTTGCTCTTCTGGCTGCTTTTGCTGTGTAAATTCAGGTGAAGACCTGGAAAGAAATGATGGATCTACAGCAAAACCCTACTTCATGTCAGCTAGCCTTCACCGAATTCTAGGGAAGAAGGAGTTAAGCCCTAAGAAGGCAGTGGGATAACATACACTAAACTGCAACATCAAAACAGTGTCACTTTTAAGCAAAATGTGTATAAAGTAGGCAAAAGTAAAAACTGTAAATGATGCTTCTGGTTAATGGGTGATTCTTTTTTCCGTTTGCTTATATCTATAAAAAATGAGCAACATTGGTAACATTTAACTAGTTTAAATGCTTAAAACTAACAGCTGTGAAAACAGGCCACATTTTAGTTTATAGAGTGCCTATGAAAAGGAAAATGTAAATTTGAAGCTTTTTTAAGTCTATAATGATGTTTTAATAACTTTTGTAACACAAGTTGCTGCCTTAGATGACAGCAGTTTTGATAATGTTTCTTTTTATAAGTGTATATTTGTAAAAGAAATTCAGGCAATTTTTTGAAAGCACTAACATAACCTAATCAGCCATAAAAGATTGTTTGAGACTCTCTAGTTACCTAGGAGATGGTACTGAATTTGTAAATATGGTGCTATGATTGTATTTTTTTGTACGAGCTGGTTCACAGCTATTTAAACTGTGATTATACATGCATTAATGATTCCCTAAAATTTAATCACATCCACATCCACGTCTTCTATGAAATGATGGTACCCTGCAGGTCCCAAAGAAGGTGGTCAGAGGAGACTCTACCTGGTCCTGCTTAAAGTGGGGGTTTCTGTGAGTTGTGCTTGAAAGATGATATTACCAAGAGAAGGTCACACTGCACTTGATTTGTGGTTTCACAAATGAAGTTTCATCTGGTACAAGATGGTGAATGTATCATTTTTAGCTGATGTGTGAAAGAGATGCACTTGTGTTAATATCCCCCTGTCTCTGACGAGTGTCTGATTGTGTTCTGCGTTGTGAGGAGCCGAGTTGCACTGAAAGGCAAACCAAATGCAGTCTTTTTTAACTTCGAAGAAAGTCTTGGCTGCAGTTGTGCACAAGGAATTCCGCTGCCGCTGCCACTGCCTAGCTCAGAAGGGCTCGTTAACAAGACATTGCAGTGACCGTGAGGATGCTGAGGGCCAGCCCTGCTCCTTCGGCTGGTCTCCAGGCTCTCAGGTGCTCACACAGAAATGTGTTAACACATTGAACTCGAGTCTTCTCGAGTTCATCTTATGATGCAGCATAAATTATTTAGATACTGAAATATGCTCCAAGAGATTTAGTTTGATTTTTGGTTATTAAATTTGCCCGGTCATTAGAACAAAATCTGTTGGTACAAAGCACGTTAATATTCTGTTCCGTTTTATGACCCTCCCATTTGTAGAACTGTCACTGGGGTTAGTAACAGCTCTGCTCATGGAAGAAGTCTTACACTGGAGTGCTTCTCAAGTCCTTTACAGCCATGAGCTGAGCTGAAAAGGTTTTAATTTATTGGTTTCATGGGTGCCCAAGGACCCAGCCACACTGATCCTGCTCCTAGTTGTCATGGATTCCGCCATACTGGATAAGGTATTCCATTACTGTCCACTTGCAGCAGTGGCATGTGCCATGTCTCTGCCAGACCTCTTACAGAAGTTCAGCACTTGAAATACTTTCCTAGCCCCAGGAGTCAGTTGGTGTCACAAAGGGAAAGGCAAATTATTTTCCAGAGGATTTGAATGCAAATTTCTGGAGAAAATTTCCTGACGATGCACATCCCAAAGTGATTTTGCTCTCTAACAACCCCAGTTTGCTCCAGTTTGTGATAACTGTAAGCACTACAGAGGCAGAAATACTGTCCCTGATGTGGCCAGTCTGGGGTCCTGCTGATGCATAGTGGTTACCACCCCTGTGCTGCTGGCACGAGCATGGGAGGGTCTTGAAATGTGGTGAGCTGAGGTGCAAGCGCAGGGTACCCGTATGCATTCCCTGTGATCAGGTTGGCACTGCAGCACTTTCCCTGGAGCAGAAATGAGGGGTCCGGTTTAGGACTCAAGTAATGTAAAGTAAAGGTGCACAGTTTCAAATGGAACTGCTGGTTGTGGGCACCTTCAGGCTTCGATGACCCCTCTTAGATAGCCTAGAGTAAACCTGACTTTCGGAAAGGGCTGAGGAACCTGCCTTCAGAAAAACACAGGCTTCCAACTATGAAGTTTTGCATCATTGTCATCATTCCTTTCTCCTTATGTGCATGGCATTGAATATCCAACACCACCCCCTCCCCTCGTCATTCTATCTCTTCTGAGTCTGCAGTCAGTAGCTTTTGGGGGTCTGTGTCATCATTATGTGATCAAAGGAGCGGCTGGTCTGATCACAGCCCATCTGCTAAACCTTGATTTTGAATTACAGTTTTTCAATAGCACTGTGTGATTAGTTTGCATTCAGGAATCTATATTTCTATTGGACTTGAGTGTCTTACCGGGAGCTCAGCCGAAAAAGCGTGTTTCTGAACACAGTGTGCTTTTTTTATCATATGAATGTAACCATAGAGTTTACTAGGAATAAACCATAATAGACATAGTAGACAGTTATTTGATTAGAAGACTTTTGTAACAAGCCTATGCATTTACTAAAGGAATTTCTAAAAGTGAAAGTTTTAAATTGTATTATTATTTATATACAGTAAATATATATATGTATAAATTTGCTTCACTCACTATTTTGTGAAATTATTTAGAATGTAAGTGATCATCATTTCTGAGAAAATTTAAAAGCCATTTTCTTAATGATATAATTATGAGAACTGTGACAATACAAAGCAATATCATGTAGATTTTGTAATCAATAGATTCAATAAATAAATCATAATGATTTAATACTAAAATTGGCTTTAAAAATAAATTGCTATTAATGAATTAAGTAGAAATTAATGCGAGTAATTACTTGGGAAAAGAATCACGTAAAATATTTTAAGACTAACTT